ACTATTCAATCGGCACTTTTGATGGACCAGTACTGTACCAGTTCGTGTGACTGCGCGGAGATTCGAGCTCACGTGCCAACGTCAGAAGGTTGAGAGATTACCTACTGATTCACCGGGACGACCAGTGCGTGCAAGCTGTGACACATCATCGCTGGCAAAGCTGTGATATAATAAAAGATGCTAACCGCCCAATATTGCGCCCGGAAGAGGCAAACAACGCTCAAAATCGGATGGATTTTCCTGGCTACCTGTCCTACAAAGGTGCTTTGGACACAAGTTGTTTTATGTTTAGATACCAGCGATTTTTCTCGAAGAATTACCGTGCGGTGGAAACAAACCGGAGGTTGTATTTGTCCTTTAGTCTGTTCGGGTGCCCCAGGGCATAGTACGTGTCTGTGCTTGCGAGACAGTCGGTGTCAGACAGGCATATTACTACTATTCGGTGATTCCAGCATTGACTTTGGAACCGTGATCGAAAACGTTGTAATTTTTCATTTTTTTTCCATGCGGGACTCGTGGTCTTGCTGCTTGTCGGGATTTTGTTTTTTGTGGACTGTAACAATGCGCAGGTGTATCTGAGCAAGCGTATTCCACCGGAGGCTGGTCTAGGAGGTGGAAGTGCCAATGCCGCCACGGCGCTGTTCGCTGCGAATAAATTGGCAGGAAATCCAGCATCCTTGGAAGATCTGCAGTTGTGGTCTGCAGAGCTTGGGTCTGACATTACCTTCTTTTTATCGACAGGCACGTGCTACTGTACAGGGCGAGGGGAGGTACTTCACCCTCAAGAACCGTTACCACAGACCAGGTGATACGCGACGGGCAGGTTGCCGTCGCCTCCCCTTTTTTTATTGAGGCCGTCCCAGCATCAAACATGTACTGTCGTTATCGTACACCGAAAGACGCTAGACTTGGGTCCTTCGTCGAGCATAGTCCCCGGCAAGATGCGGCGTTTCCCTCAGAATTCGTGATCGTACTATTCTAGCGGAAGGGCCACGTTGCCCACGCCTCCATTCAACTGTTCATTCAGGACGAGGGCATAAAGCTCAACGGGCGCCAGCGGTATGTGACAGAAGGGCCGTTGGTTTACAGTCAGAGCTGGGAGCTTCATGGGTTCAGCGGGGCTTGGTGTCAACGAGTTTATTTATCAGGCTCGATGAGAAATTAAGTTTTGTTTCGTTTATGTTAACCTGCGTGAGGTTTACTTGCTTGGTGTCTCTGCGAAATTGGTTTTTGCCGACCCGCATATCCCCTACCCTATCCTGAGGCTGTTCCTTCTGTGCTTCCAGAGCTCATTACACCGTGGTGTGTGCTTGCGGTTCACACTCCACCCTCCAAATATCTTCTCAACAGGGTGTGGTTGGTGAAACCAAACAAAGGGTTAAGCACACCCGTTGTGTTTAGACATCTTGACTACGACCAACTCTCCCGGATTGAGCCAGCCGGTCTACTCAAACAATTCATGGAGGAAGGTCTTGCTGAAGCAGACTACGTGAACGATCTGGAGTTGCCCGCGTTCAAAGCAATGCCATCGTTGCAAACGATGAAGGAAGAGCTGCAGGTATGGCCATTGATTCCGTACGTACGTTGTCTCCCATCAATACTGTGCGTTTTCACCCTTCTTGTTGTTTGGCCGTTTTGGTGACTTGAATCCCACGCGTTTCTAGTCTTTAATTGTCGGTCAGCACCATCCCTCCTTTGATTTATTAAGAATTGATATCAATTCTAAGAGCCAGGAACTCTTTGTGTTGGCTTCCTGCTCTTGACACTGTGGGTTCCTGTACATGTAAAGACTGTGTGTAAGCCGAAGATGTTTTTCCAGTGCTGATATATCAGCATACAGACACTTCCAACTGGATCATTGTGTGGTGCATCACTAATCGAACGTCGTGTCGTCTGTTGCATCCGCAGACCCTAGGGTTTGACCACGTGCTCATGTCCGGGAGTGGTTCGACGATATTCTGCATTGGGAGCCCGATGCATGGTAGCTCTTGGACGAAGGAATTCGCCGAAAAATGGGGGGCAATGGTCGTTGATACCCATTTTATCAATAGACCAGTCGAGGACAACGCGTGGTACGCAGAAGCTTGACCACCCACGTCAAGAGCGCGTGCCCAGGTGTTCGCCAGATTGAGACGCGGAAGTCACTTGTAGCTCCGATGCTAATTCTGGAGGTCCCGCTAAAACGGCCTTGTAGCGGAATCTGCGTTCTCCTACGGTCCAGACTAAAAAGGCCCTTACACTGCTGTATGGGCGCTGTTACTTCTGTACATCTTGACGTATATCTTGACGGTGTGATCGATTCTTGTGGGGAAAGATTAATTCCTGATATACGGTTTTTGAACTGGGAACGGATGAACGACCAGACCTCTGAACGCTTGTAACTAGGAAACCTGGGACAAAAAGTTCGGACCCCTGGGGAAAGCAGTTGGCTGGTGTTTGCAGGCGAAGTCTAACCTTGTTATGCTTTTGTTCCGAACATTGTGATGGACGCAACTTCGGGGGCTTGTGATACGCGCGCGGTGCTCACATGCCTCATTTCACATTTTACACCTAGACTGGAGAGCCACAGGCGATTTGCCCTTTCATCCAAGCATGACTCCCCAGCCCATAGAGGGAGCTTTAATTGAACATCTATCTATCGCACACCGTGCGTTCGTCCGTACTTTTCACAGAAACATTGTAGATCAGGAGCGCCCCCTAGATGGGCGAAGCAGGGGGTATCATCACGCGAGATATTCCACTCCCCCCGCAGTGCACGAGAGTACCTGTCACGGAGCGGTCGAAGAGGAGTAGTTTGAACACGCTTCCTCCGCTCGCTCTGTGACATTTGAGGCCAACGAACTCCGCCCCACACCGCCCGGTGACATAGGGGGCTACCAAACCTGGTGAGAGGACGGAAAGTATCCATCAGTGATGTGCCCCCCAGATGGGACACGAAAGGGGGTATCGTCAGCTCAAGATTCTAGGACGTGCGTATCGCCTCTTTCCTCAAGGCGATGGTCAACGCAGCATAGTAATTAGATTTGCTGTTTAACAAGGCGTGAATACTTACACCCAATGCTTTCAGGTTCGGGAAAAATCAAAGGTTGTTCCACAAGTGACAATGGACGAAGTTCCTCACCAATCAGCACATGTTGTGGACCATGGCAATCCCCACGTTGCCCTACAGCGAAGTCTTTTTGTGCAGCGCTGTTGGCAAGAAATGTGTCTTGGCCATTCCCCGGTCTTCATTCTACGCGGTCCAAGACCTAAAATCCGCAGCAAACCAATCCAACAATTTTTACCCCAGTCCAGCCTTTCTACCCCAGATGACCTCCGTCCATACTCTAGGGAACCTACCAAGATATACAGCACTGAAGCCGGTCACATGTGTAGAATGACTTTATGCCCAAGAAGGTGGTCTTGCGGTGATGTGCATTTGGCGTCGTCGGGTGTCTTCTATTATTGTCCCATGGAACAACTTAGGAATAATTGTTTTTCGGTTTGTGTTGTATTTTGTTGACGGAATGCAGGTACAAATGATGCAGGCAATGCGTTGATGCAGGCAATGCGAAAAAGAATCTCGAAAAATATTCGCAAGGTTTTTTCACTTGTGCCGGCCTATTGGGGTCTCCAGTACTATAAAGATAGGGCGGGGTAACGAGCCGCGTGGAAGTCAAATTTGCGATGCTGATGGTGCACGAATGCCGACACACAGCAGCGTGAATCGCTTGTGGTGCAGCAGAAGGACAGGGTACGACAGGCGCGACGGGTTGTTTGTGCGGCCCTCGTTTTAATATGTTGCACTTTGGATGTCAACTAGCACACAAGAACCAAAATATCACGTCTCGCTGTGTGGACGCAAACACGCACGTCTGGAAGAGGCGCACATGCGGCATTTACCTAGCGGCGAGCATATCACACAACACGCCGCCGAGGAGCACGAGCAGCAGCGTGGACATAGGATTGCGACAGACAGATGCGAGACAGACAGATGGCAAATACTGCAGACTTACAGCTCACCCACCACAGTCGTCTCAAGCCTTCCGAATTTCCCGCCAAGTGGAAGCAAGCAGTCTGCGTTACGGGACATTACTATACATGTACCAAAATCCAAAGCCATTGGTGGCCATTACTTTGATGCGAGAGACCCAGCAGCAACAACAAGCAGGGCACGGCTTTTGCGAAGACGGTCAGTGGCGCGGCGCAAGTACGCAACCTGAACCGTTCGCGGAGGACCATCCTGATAGCGCATAGCAGGAGAGACCCTCACGGCCTTGAGGGTTTCTCTTGATGGTAGGTGTGATCTGGACTTGGGAAGGTGAGTTATGTTGTGTGTAATGATCGGTGTGCTGCTTTTTGAGCAGTCAGTTGGACCCTCTCAACATCAACAACCACCCTCCAGATTACACATGGCGCATGACTACACCCACGGCACGCAGGTCGTATGGGCTCGACCCCTTCTGGTTTTCATAGTTGGTCTCGGATGAGCGTCCCAGCGGTGATGCGTTTATTGTGGTGTTGTGTCTCTGTATCTGTTCCTCTCCTGGTTTCAATCGCGAGGGCACCCGATCTCCGATTTTGTGTTCCCCTTTTGGCGGAGAAACCCAGGGAATAGGGAGAGCAATCTCCTCCAAGTTTGGGGCACAGACGCTTGTGTAGCACGGCCGTCTGCTGTCGCGGAGCACAACCAACCGGTGTGACGAAGAGCGCGCTATTTTTCTCTTTCCTCAGAAGCGAACAGATCGTCAGTCGGTGCCCTGTAGATCTCGTTCTGCTCCCAAAGACGGGTCATTTAGGCTCCCCGGAAATCAAGTTTGGGGTCCCTGCAAAACGCGGCGGAACTTGGCCGATATTTAGAGCCTGATTTTTCCCTCCTTGGCCAGAGGGAAAAGAGCGGTCGCGCTTCGCGCTCCGCGGCTCATCATAAGACCCCCGGACGCTGTTGCATGCCGGTATGTGGCTGGGAACAAACTTCGAACTTGGTCCGTATTGAACGTTTGTACAAGCTTTGCCAACTCGCAAAACGAAGCTAGATCTGGAGGTACATGCTGAAACCAAAGAGAGGCTTCCCATCGTGAACTACTGCTACCAGGTACGCTGCGTCCTCAACACCCTCAAAGCTATTTACCGTCAATATGCGAGAGAACGCACGGGGGTGGGATCGATTTTCCAAGGGAAATTTCGAGCGCCAACTGATACCTCTCAGGAATGCTCTTGAGATATTTCCAAAATCACCTTTTTGGACAGTGGTACGCTCCTGGTTTTACTCAAGAATAACGACAACGGTGTTTGTGAACGATAAACACCAATACACGGCGACATCATCCCGGACTAATGCCACTCCATTCCATAAGTCAACGCATGTTTAACTCTCATACAAAGCGTAGATTTCCCACATTTAACAGTGACAAGCACGCGACGCTACAAATGACTACAAAACGCAAATGGCGCACGACCAAACTAATTTGAATATGGTCGCACGCTTCACATGTGATTAGTTAATAGACAAAGTGCAGAATTTCCACCTCCAAAGGTGACAAGCGCCACGCTAGAAATGACTACAACACGCTAATGACAAAAAACCAAACTAACTTGGCCAAGGCCGTACGCTTGCAAAAAAAGAAAATCCACATCAAAGCCAAGGCAGTTTTCCGCCACAAACATGTCCACGATCGCCTCCATCTCGAACCTCGCTGCGTGAAAGAATACTGAAAAATCTCCTTCAGATCGGCCGTGATTTTGAGAGCGGCAGCGGCGTAGGACCGCAAGTGCACGACGTGGACATCCCGAACTTCACCTCACACGATGTTCTGGAATTCGTATACATGCGGTCCCTCGGCGGCAACAATCCTCCACGGCCCCTTTCAGGTCATGAGCAGTTTCGTTGTCGACCCACGCCGGCTAGCGCGCGCCATCAGCACGTAGGTCCCCACCACGAGTTCAGGGAGAGTCCCAACACGCGCAGACACTCGGTGCTTTACTCCGACTCGCCTGAACCTTGTCAAGAACTTCCTTGAGCAGTTGACGTTGGGTCTCGACGACACGCTCACCTTCAACCGCAAAGCTTTCTCGTCTAGGAAGTCCACATTCCATTCGATGCCCAATGCTCCGGCGCACCCAAGACCTTACACCGCCTCCGGAGATGCTGCGCGGTCAGGCGGGCTGTGCACGCCCCTGTGGACTCCAGCCAAACCCAGTTTGAAATGTCGTCCATCATGACCACAATGTACTTGGAACCCTCCCTCCCCGTCAAAGCTATCTTTCCACAGCGGGCCCCTCGCTCCCACGTAGAGATGGTCGAATTGAACAACTTCACCAGGACGCGTGCCGGGCGTGGTCTTGACCCAAGCGGACAGGGCACCTTTTCCCCTTCCGTGGAATCCATGCCATGCAGGCATAGCGAGGTCGGTGACATGCTCTTCCATCCGAAACCAGCAACAGTCGCTCGCACAGCCGCTGGAAGGTTGCGAAAGCGCCTCGATGCCCAGCTTCTTTCATGTGTGCCCAAACCACCAGTTACACCTGCAAAGCACTCGCTGAATCTGGAATCCAAAGCACATCACGTCCGTTCATTCCCACTCGAAAAAATCCTGCGCACTATCCAGAGTGGCCGTCCCCACCGCCGTCGAAAATAACATGGTAGATCTGGCAAGCGCACCGAGCTTGCTCCGCTCTGTACGTTGTGCAGCACTTACTGCTTGCTTGGACGGCATGGTCGCATCAGGTTCGATGAGGGGGTAAACAGCGGTAGCACAAACACTTACCGACGGCATAGAAACCCAACGCGACAGAAGGTCTCCCCAGCAATACCACCCACCCAGAATGTGCCTGATGGTGGAATCGTTCTTGCCCAAGACAGCTTTTCACTGGTCGAGGCGCTGAGCCGTGGCTTTCGCTAAGGAAGACACGCAAGCCTCTGGGTCAAAATGTACGCGAAATTACGGTGATCTATGAAGATCTGCACGTCATCCCAAGGCAAATACTCCAACCGCTTGAACATACTCACGATCGCGTACCCTTCGTTGTCCACCTTGTCTACCGTGGCCCATCGCTGCTGCGGCCTCGTGAATGTATCGCTCGCAAACCCCATCGGTTTATGAGCCATATCCTCCACAGGAACGCCACGGTCCAGCTGAGTTCGGGGCACTCCGGTGAGTAAGCTCCCCGATTGTTCATCGGACATGAGCATCGCGCGAACTGGGTAAGGGTGAGATAAGGCACCAGCGCGGACAGCAAGGTCTTGCGCGGCAGTCCACGCCTCGATCAGCGCGGTCGTCCACACATCCACAGCGATTGCGCGAGTCTCGGCCACGCGCTTCGTCCTGTTGCGGGGACCGACCAAGTGCTGTTCCACGAAAACGCGAAGCGACCACACAATCTCCGCCATCCACGGTAGTCACATGCGCAGCTTGTTTCTTGACCGCCTGCAGGATTTGCATCAGCTCGCCAGCCGTCACAGGACGCTGCATTGTAGCCAGACCGCTGAGCCGCTTGGGATCATGCTCGACCTTCCCCTGAGAGTATACCTCCCGCACCAAATGATGCAGGTCTCGAGAATCTCCACTTAATGGGCGGCAACTTAAAGGTCAGCACTCTTCACACGTTTGAGAATAACGCCGAGGGTGTCAAGCAAGTTGTCTTCCTCCATCCCCCAATACACAACCTCGTCTACCCAGACGAAGCACTTCAGTCCCCAGGATGCGCAAAAGGGTGGCCTGGAAATGCGACGTAGCGTTCAAATACCTTGCGGTTCCCGCGTGGGCATGCCTAGACCGCCCGGCTAAGTGATTGTGAGGATTTCCTGCGCCTCTGGAGACAACGGGCACTACCAGTACCTTTGCAAGAGATCCAACCTCCCATAGAACTTAGCCGCACTGAGCTGAGCCATACTAGCTCCAGGGTTAGGTATGGCACAATACGACTTCTCTACATGCATGTTGGCCGCACGAAAGTCACTCAGCAGCCGGTATCCCAGTCTCTTCGGAGTCACCATCGCGGCGCTAGCCCACACGGCCTGCATGTTGAGGAACACCAAACCCAACGGGATCTGGCGTCACCCGCCAACCATACGGTCGTGATCGGGTTCTATAAGCGCGGTCCCGCTTTAAACGGTCGCATTCCGGGCTTGAGGGTGACCCGTAGAAGGTCGAGGTTCGCGGGAGGGTCGCCATGGGATAAACAATGACGGAACGCGTTCATCAATCGCTGATGATGCCTAGCAGACGTCGCACGTGCGGTTTCCTCCGAGCCAGCTTCAGCCGCAGACGAGACACCGCTGTCCAGCGATGTACACCGTGCTGACGCCTCTTCTTCAGGGTTCATGTCCATATCTGGGCTTCGCGCCACCAAACGCTCGATTGCTGAATCCCGTTCGGCTTGCCACCTTCGCGCTCCTTCAGAGTATCAAAGGTAAATCGTAACTCGGCGGCAGTGTTCGTACACCGCGTTCTCAACACACGCGACGCCAGCGCACGAACGCGCATAGGCCCCCAAGCTCTCGTACATATTGATACCCAATGTTTTCAGCGTCGGATTGACAAGAAGCACCATCTCACCATTACCAGACAGCACCGCAAACGAGAAGAGGTCCACGGACACCAGCTCCAAGCTGGTGTGTAGAGCAATGTGCACGGGACAGACTGGTGAGATCCTGGGTGGGATTTACAAATTCGGTCTTCTTGAGCAATGGGTCCATATCGCCCGAGTATGGACGTACCTTTTTAAGAGCTCCGTCCTTGCATATACCACGAGTACGAGCGGAGCATGGGTCTCTGCGACAGTGGGCAATCCATCAAACGCCGCCGCTCACCGTGTCTCAACTGCTCGGCAGTCTGTCCGGAAATAATTGTCGTACACCTTCTTTGGTGGTTGGATGCACCAAAGTTGATGAAGATGATCTGCGCGAGGCTCTGGCAAAACAGGCTCAATGCTGGACGGACGATAAAACTGAGCGCTCGATTGCGGCCGCGGTGTGTCGTATTGTAGCCACGGGAACTGAGATCACGGCTGTAGATTGGATAGACGCTGTTTCAGAGACGCCGCGAGCTACTTCGGGAACCTGAGTCCTGAACGTGCTATTCGAGACTCCACTATTGCGTTGAAGCGACGACAGGCGGCTCCTCGAGCAAAGCAATTGTAGCAGGTCTGTCTCCGCCCGAGTTTAAGCTCTAGGTGAATGAAAGCTCGACATGCAAGGTAGCTGGAAGGGCAACCCTCAGCTGGTCTTTGAATTCGTTTGGGGATGTTGCGGTCGAGTGGTGCACGGTTGAGGTGGCAGACAGATAGCATGGGCAATCGCGTGGTGGCGGCTTCAGGCTCGTTACAACCGTCTCACCAACAGATTTTGAGGCAAAGCGAAAGCTGATGGAGCTGGCGGTGCAGGTGCGTCTTTGTCTGCCAAGCTTGTTCCGTGTTTGAGGTGCAACAAGCCAGGCCACGCCCCGCAGAACTGTCCCTTGCAGCGATTCCGCACCAAAGCCTCTACCCAATACGCTGGGCGTGGAGAGCGTTTTCGCGGCGCCGGCGACGCCCGTGATTATTAGCCACAGCAGCCAACAGCAGCAGCTGCAGTAGCAGCAACAGAATGATACCCAGGGGCACAGGCAGCAGCACCAGGACCTTCACGGTCAACAGCCTGCAGCAGCCTTCCTTAGGAGGGGTACATGGTTCCGAGGAGGTCATCGTTTACCATTTTCTACCGACTCTATTTCGATGGTAGGGCCGTCCTTGCCCGAGAATTCCAGGGCGAGGTAGCTCCAAAGTCTTTTCGGCCCCCGGACACGTCTCCGTCTGCTGCCACTGCCCCCGTATCCTTTCTAGCGCCGATTGAGGGTGTGCGGGTGCAGACCGGCCCTGAGGGACCGTTCGTGTCATCGGTTCGTGGAGTCAGCCCTGACGTATGTCTGGATTCGGTTCTGAAAGGTATCGCGTTTGATTCCAACGAAAGACGGTGCCGAATGAGGTTGTCGGTGCCTGGTGCTGCTAACATGATTGCCATGGATGCTGTTGCGATTCTAAATTCTGGCTTAGGGATCATTACCATGTCAGCAGGTTTCGCGAGTAGGCTGCATGATGCCTTTTCTGATGTGCAGATAGTGGGGAGCATCCAAAACCCGGGGAAGCCGAAAGTAATGGACAGCCGCCTGTTCGAGGTCACACACAAACCTTGACCCCGTGTGCATTGCCTTACACACCAGCTGGGAGCTGGTGTCGGTGGACCCCTTTTCGTTTGAGGTCATCCCTTGAAATGATAAGGTGATCCTTCTTGGCAACGCGACAACGCTGAAGGCATTGGATGCCGATATGCACGAGAGCTTGGGGGCTTGAACGTATTCGTGCGTTAGCATCTCAGGTGTTGAGACCACGGCGTACAAACAATGCCGCCGAATTATGCTTGCTGCTGATGCTCTGCAACAGCGCGAGGGCCCGCAGCAAGCCGAGCCGGATCTTGCAGTCGACCGTTTGCTGGCGTGACGTCCAGGCATGGACATGAGCCTTGAAGAAGACGCATCCGCGTTGTCTGAGGACAGAAGAGCCATATGTCCTCCGTTGACCCCTTAGGGCACCTCCCCAGGGTATGAGGGGGGAGGCTAGGCCCATAAGCCCCCATAGAGGGAGAAGAAGGGAAGACAGGAGGCATGAGTATATTGTGTGCAGACATCAACAGGGACCCCGTACAACAAGGGGCACCATCAATATCTCCAACAATCCGAGCATAACAGAGCCAAGTCCACAGTGCCCTCACAACGCATCGCTACTTGATTGTCCGTAGAACATGATAAGCTTGATACTAGAAACACACTAGCCTCTGACCAAAAGCCAACAATACGGGGAACGCGGAGGGTGAATTATATCTTGCCATGAACTGTTAAATCGCGTAAGTAACAACAAGCATCACAGCCTTGCGCGCACAAGCAGATGGAAACCTCATACAAACGTCAAGTCTTAAAGCATCTACGAACGATGCCCAGCAAGCAACGTTACGTACCATCACGAACGCCCTCATTATCGATGAAAAACGCCCACGCAACGCAAGTATTCACGACATTACGCAGTCGTAGTTATTTCGCTGGCCAAAAACCTCCAGACTATGTCTGGTAAGTAGCTGCCAACACCAACAATGGTATGGCGTATCCGACTTAGCGTCAAGAATGACTTATGGTCAATCAGAATTGATAGAAAATGTACCCCAGCACAGCAGGCATCCTAATACCAAAAATCAACACTCCGAAGGATGAAGGGTATTAACAATCACAGCAGGATAAGCGCTAGGTCTGGAATGCGTCGGAAGTGTGCTGTATCATGCCAAACCTTTGTTAGAGATACGGCATGCGTCATCGCTGGTCTCTCTCGAATCAACAGTCCATGCCTGAAACACAGCATCGATCGGTGCGAAAGAGATCATGGCGTCCACGAACGTTACATCAATTCCCATGAAATTCCCTGCTAAATCTGTCCAATTGGCCAAATCGAAGCGTCGATGTGCAAGAAAAAATCACTCAGAACACGGAAACACCCACAGGCTCCAACGGGTTGGATTCCCATGTGGTCTCACGCAAATACCAGCCCCGCACATCGTCGTGCACGCAAGCTCGCTACACACAACGTGGCCACCCCCATCATCGAGAACATACCGAAAACGCTCGTAGACAAGAGTAAGGCAATTTCCATACTCGATCATGAACACGTGATAAACTCTCGCATTAGGGCATCACCTTGCTTGATCACGACCACGCCTTAAAAACTCGCAGAGAAGTGATCGCATGACCCTTCTCGGCCAGAGATGTGCTCGTATCGCCTCAAAAAAAAATACTCCTCAAACGCAAGCTTCATGCGGAAGTTGCTCGCATTCGACCAAGCCCTGAAAGAATCACCTCCAAGTCGACCGCTTAGTTGCCAGCAGACAGCAGGCGGTGACTGTAGACCAACGCTCAACGAAGGTGCTTCCCCACTATCAGCAGTCAAGTTGGAGGTGTGTATCCGTTGATGACGCACGCGGGATAAGCCAGGGCGAAAATGTTTTTTTTTCGCGCTCTTCATATTTTTTCTCATGCGTCGACACAGTATAGTCCGAGTGCCTTAGAGGCCCTTGCGAATGTATCACGTACAGATTTCGTAGAGCTATGGACGATAAGGTAGACTGACCTGTGGAAATCTCGCCCGCACAGGATTTGTCTTGCCGCGCCAAAATTTGTTCGAAAGGGCAACTTTTTGGCCCTGGACTTTTGTGCCCCATAAATCGTGAAACTGAAAAGTGTCCCCAAAAAGACTAGTCTGACGACCACATACAGCAAGTGAGCACGCAGCATCAAACACGACGCTTAAACCAAGCCCCTCCTATCCTCAAATATTGCATATGAAGGACAGTTTGAATCGCCGCGAGTCGCTGTTGACAGTGGTGAATCGGTTTGTCGTAACGCTCAATCTAGACTCATTAGACAAGGGATATGAACTCGCAAGCAATGGAAGCTCGTTTCGTCGTAACGCTCAATCTAGACTCATTAGACAAGGGATATGAACTCGCAAGCAATGGAAGCTCGTTTCGTCGTAACGCTCAATCTAGACTCATTAGACAAGGGATATGAACTCGCAAGCAATGGAAGCTCGTTTCGTCGTAACGCTCAATCTAGACTCATTAGACAAGGGATATGAACTCGCAAGCAATGGAAGCTCTGCTGTATTGTCGATACTCTTGCTCTGTTGGTTGGCCGCAGTACAAGTAAGCTAAAAAACGCCCCACTTAACCTCCATGATAGTAATGCGATGACATACAGTAAGTGCCCGCGTTATTAATGCCAACATTCGGTCCAGCCTCAAATTCTTACTGTGGGCTGAAAACTCAATGTGCGCTGCCCAATTTCTTATGTCGAGTTTCTTATTTTTTCGTGCGGCACAATCCTGCTGAATTTCTTGCTCTCTTCTTGCATACACAACGTGCTGATTACAAAACCAATGATATGCGTTGCTTTCCTCGCCTCCGTACTCAAAACTCCGATTCTCACCACCGACGGTTGGTTGTAC